TTTTTAAGTTTTTATATATTAATACACTTAAAAAAATATATTTTTTTTTTTATGGAATTCTTTAATTACATAATATATGAAAGATATTCCCATTCCATGTGTATAAGGAGCACAACGAAAAGTAGTTCCACTTGTATTCTCCAACGATTATAATCGGCAATATTGCCTCAGTCTATATACGATAAAGACATGCAATTGGCTGGACCACTATGGTAGGGCTCTTATTGGTGGGTGGGCGTATATAGCGCTTGCACCGCATGCATGACCAATCATATAGAAGTGTATACTTATAGTTATCCACTAATTATAGCTCTGCTACATTCCATTCTCGAGCAGAAATAACGAAACAACAACTAATAACAAACCTTTCGCTTCTTCTACTCCATAACTGCAGACATGCGCCCGGCACGTTACCGATGAAGCAAGCAACTTTAATCAGACACAGACACAGACACAGGTGAGTTGTCAACCAGGGGCAGGGGTAGGGGCGGCCCATTTGGCTTGTAGGGGCTAATATGATTACTGTACTCGTGCTTGTGGGTGGTTGCATTGTGTGGCATCAGCTGAAACGCGAACATCCACTTTGATRGCGTGTGCTCTGCGTTGGAATTGAGTAAACTTTTAATTAAACTTCAAAATGATTCCGCTTTGATGAGCTCTTGGCCCGGCCCGGCCTGGCCCGACCAAGATATCTGACTTGGGTCTCTCTTTCTTCTTGCCACAAGACAATATTATTATTTGTAGCATGTGTCGTCTGTTGTAAAACATATTCGTGCGATCACAATAAATTTTTTCTATTATAGTGCGCCAAAACAAAAAACTGATTATGAGGCAAAAGTGAAAAGTTGTAATTAAACCAGTCACTGACTGCTCGCAGTCTTGCAAAAAACTGCAACAACTGTGACTGCAGCAATAACAACGACAACAAGCAACGGCAGCCGCTGCAAACAGCTGGCAATCATAAAGAGTAGAAATCGCTGAAGCGACATGCCCGTTTTTTAGCTAACGCTAATGTTGCTGTTGTTGTTGCAGTTGCTTAGAGTACCCAACATGCGACAAGTGCACTTAATTAGTAGGGATCAGAAGGTAAAGCGAAGCGCAGGGAATGGGGGCATCTGGAACATGACCAGTGTTCCGGCAGGTAACAAGTCTAATGCTAAATTGCCCCCAGCACACTTTTTTTTATTTATCTTTCGTTTTTGTTTTCTTCATTTTTTTTTTTTGGCAGCAGCACAGACAAGAAGATGTGGCCCAAACAGCGTTGGCTAGTCAACAGAGCAACTGCAGCGATACCAGAGAGCAGCAGACACCAAATAGTAGCAGTATTAGTAGCCTTTATCTTAGTCAATTGCCTAGCCGCGGCGACGGCGGCGCTTATCACACCACAGCACACGGGCAGCGGGAGCGGTAGCAGCAGCAGCAGCAGTGGCAGCAACACCAACAGCTTTGATTACGATTCCACAAATGAGGATGACGACAGCACATCCTTGCCCAGTTTCTATCGCAGTCCACATCGCCTGGATGGCTACTATACGCCTGCGGATCTGCAGCGCAGCCAAAACTTTAAGATAAGCCCCAAGCCGTGCTCCTTTGGCCGCATCGAGGGCACCTGCATGTTCGTTTGGGAGTGCATCAAGTCCGAGGGCCAGCACGTGGGCATGTGCGTTGACTCGTTCATGTTTGGCTCATGCTGTGCCCACAACTACACCGAGAATATTGTGCTGCCCCACACGGGCTTCTCATACACGAGACCCACCAAGCCCCTGTCGATGAGGCCCCGGCCGCCACCACAGCCACACAAGCCGCTAATCAGGTGGGTAAATAAAGGCGGCTCTAACCCAATTTCCTTTGAAATTTATATACCATTGATAGTACAAGAAATTTCCAAACTAATTTCCTCGAACACAAACAATTTTTTTTTTTTTTTTTTTGTTTAACTGCTGAAAGTAGCGCGAGCTTAGTAAGCCCAATTAATTCTACAAATTATAGACCATTTTTGATTTTCATTTGACTTACATATTTAAGTATACCTTTGGTTAGATACAAGCTTTAATATAAATATATTTCTTTTTCAAATGTAATAAGTGATTAACGAATTGCGACAAGAAGAAGTTAACAATAAAATTAATTTGAGTTCTCATTAAACAAAAATAAGTAAACATTATTTTAGCTTTGCGGGTCAGAAAATAGTTGGCATAAATATTTATATATTTATATATTTTGTTTTTGTATTTTTTATTCCAGGTCAAAAAGTCTGCTTAACATATTTAAACAAAAAAGATGAGCCTTTTTTATGATTAATGCAGGACTGTGTTTGAGTACTTGCGTTTCCTTTAGTTAAATTATTTAATTACAAATTAATATTTCCAAATAGATGAACTATGACCAAAGCTACTTTCCGTAACATTAAAAATAAATATTTTGCATAGTTTCCTGTAAGTATTATCGAATATTTTTTTCTTTGATTTTTTGCAGCGGTATGACAACTATTGAACGTCCACATGGCGCTGGTACATTGGTCATTCGTCCTTCTGGTCCGGTGCATCAGGGCACTTTATCCAGGCCACATCCGAAGCCAACGACGCCGCCCGATTTGCAGAGTGCAGCCAGCCAGGCGACGAGCAGTTCGAGTGAGTATAGAGCGTGGCGCCTGTTGCATTGTTATGGAAGGCAGAGTTATGGACTCACAAACAACAAACAAACAACTAACAATTACACCAACAGATAGTATTTGGCATACATCAACGCACCAGCAGTCGCCGCCGCCGCAGCAGCAGCCACAGCACCACCACTGGCACATGACCACCGAGCCAAGCTTTATTACCAGGCCGCGACCCACCGGCTGGACCAAGCCCGGCATAGTCAATTTGCCAGCAACCATGCGTCCCTCCAAGCCGGCTAAGCCCACAAAGAAACCGATTGTCTACGAGCGGCCTCCAACGCCGCTGCCAACGACAACGACGTCGACGACGACGACGACGACTACGACAATGATGCAGACGCGACCGAAGCCCAAACCCAAACCCATACCGACCAGGCCTCAGGTATGTAAATACGCGTCTTCATCTCTCTGTCTGCTTGCCACAATTCCTCATCCTGTGCCACACGCTCTGTGTGTGTGTGATGCATTGATGTCGAAAGCGAAACAAACGAGCGACGAGGTCATTTACTCCTCGATCAAGCTGGGATTCTCTGCTGCTCTTATGCTCTGACTGAGGCCACAGCCTTGGGGGACATTTTATTGTTTGCACAAAGCCAGAGCCTAAGCTGATGTAAGATTTGTCTTGTGCTGATGCTGAMGTAGTCAAGCTGTTCGTCTCTGGGGTGTGTTGTTCTGCACTTGCTGGCAAGCGTTAGGGTATCAAAAAAGTGTTTAAGTAAAGTATTTCAATTGAATAATTGTTTAAGCATTGTTATAAAATATTTGTGTATTAACGGAAAGTAGATTTCCAGATATTTGATCAAATTAATAACATGTAGAAAGTATAGAGATTATATAGAATTTTATATATATTTTTGATTATGTTTTGGTATATAACGATATACATTCGTATTTCTGAATATACAAAATATACGTGTATATTTATATTATTTTATAAAATACACAAATATTTGCATAGTTCAATATTTAATATGTTGTTAAATTTTAGTATTTTCCAAGACAATACAGAGAGGTTTTTCATAATCCTCAGTTCGGTTATTAGTAGATAAGGTAAGGGTATACAGACGTTGACTTGAGCAAAGCCATTTCATTTGGCCTCCGCAGAGATTTAGCAGTGGAATGAAAAATTGATTCTTTGCATGTGAAATATGTTGAGYTCCTTGGGTAACTATTAGCATAATGTTTACCACTTTTGGCTACCTTCCAGCTGTTGCCGGGCACATCATTAGTCGCGTCCTCCTCATCAACATCAGCCGYAACAACAACAACCTCAACAACGACAAAGGGCACAACGACAACAACAACATCGAAAGCAACAACCAGCACCACAAMAACAACCACTAGGAAACCCACCAAGCCCTACCAGCGGCCCACCACAACAAGCACGACARCAGCTTCCACATCCTCATCCACATCCACATCCACAACGGCGGGAGCAGCGGCTGCTGTATCAACCTACAGACCACGTCCGAGTCCAACATCTCAGCAGCCCACGGCTGGCATTGAATCCAATGAGATAACGGACTCCTCCACAGACGAGGCCGGCATGCTTGGCCATGTGAAGACCATTTCGGCGGCACGCAGCGGTAAGTCCAAGTACAGCCACGCCTAATGTATTTGACACAATCCAATTGCGCATAAATATATAGATATGTTCATATATGTGTATGTATGTATGTATGTGTTCAGAATGTGGAGTGCCGATGCTGACGCGTCCAGAGACTCGGATTGTGGGCGGCAAGAGCGCAGCATTCGGTCGTTGGCCCTGGCAGGTGTCTGTGCGACGCACCTCGTTCTTTGGCTTCTCTAGCACACATCGCTGCGGTGGCGCTTTGATCAACGAGAACTGGATAGCCACGGCGGGGCACTGTGTAGACGAGTGAGTACCAAGTACCAACTGCATCACACAAGCACACACACTCACACACATGCAACATTATTATTATCTAACACACTGTCCCTCTCTTTCTCTCTTCCTCTGTCTACTCATTTGCAGTCTGCTCATCTCACAGATTCGCATACGCGTGGGCGAGTATGACTTCTCTCATGTGCAGGAGCAGCTGCCATACATTGAGCGCGCCGTATCGAAGAAGGTGGTGCACCCCAAATACAACTTCTTCACATACGAATACGATCTGGCACTGGTTAAGCTGGAGCAGCCTCTAGAATTTGCGCCGCATGTCAGTCCCATTTGTTTGCCCGAAACGGAGAGTCTGCTGATTGGCATGAATGCCACGGTCACTGGCTGGGGTCGACTCAGCGAGGGCGGCACACTGCCCTCGGTGCTGCAGGAGGTAARCAAGCAGGCAACAAATCGCTGTCATATTTTCTCACTCCCACTCAATGCAGGTCTCTGTGCCCATCGTGAGCAACGACAATTGCAAGTCCATGTTTCTGCGCGCCGGCCGCCAGGAATTCATTCCAGACATCTTCTTATGCGCTGGCTACGAAACGGGCGGTCAGGACTCGTGCCAAGGCGACTCAGGTGGTCCACTGCAGGTAAGCCTAGTCCACCTATCTTAATTAATCACAATATTATGCTCAACTGAAATTCCCGCTTTCTGCAGGCCAAGTCACAGGACGGACGTTTCTTTCTAGCCGGCATCATATCCTGGGGCATTGGCTGTGCCGAGGCCAATTTGCCGGGCGTTTGCACGCGCATCTCCAAATTCGTGCCCTGGATACTGGAGCATGTGAGATGATAGCTGCATCTGTATCGTCGATATGCTCAGCTCTTGTTATTGTTTTAAATTATTAAATGTATGTTTTAAGATTGTGTGATTTTAATTTAAACGAATCTTAAGCTTAGTTAGCTTCAATTTAACAATTTGCATTGACCGCACACACTTAGTCAGGCCCACTAAGTTAGTCTAGCGAAAATTGCCTTTAAGTTGTCTAACATATGGATATATATAAATCATATAATTGTATCAATATGTGTATATATATAAAACAGAAAAACAAAAAAAAACAAAAAACAAAACAAAACAAAAAAAAGAAGCAAAACAAAAAGTCATTTTCGTTGTAAAGTTGTTGGTATATTAGTCTAGACATTAATAATAAATTAAATCTATTTAACTTATGAAACAAATCGCATACAAACATCATTATGTTGTATCTTGCCCAAAGAACAAGTTTATTTATAAAGATGAGCTCAAATAAATCTATTGACAATATATTGTACATTTGTGAAGCAGAAAAATAATTAATTCAACAAATAACTGAAAGTGTCTAAATATATGTATGTATATTCCTTAAAGGTGAAATAAATTGAAAAAAAAAATCAATCTTTTATAAATGGTAACAACTTGCATTTCCTTCCGAATAATTTAATGATGTGCTCTATAAAACCACATTATKATTATCATTATCCACAGCAAATTAAATGTGTCTAGACTGGACCCATTACTGATCAATCTACCCTCGCTGCGACAATTACATGAACACATAGTATATAGCATACAGCAATTATGCATTATCATTATTACAATCTTCAATTGAGATGCTTCGGCTTCAGTTTCCCGCAATGGTCAAGTGCGTAAATGATGAACAACAATTGCAGCTAACGGCAGCCTCAATTTCGATCCATTCATTAACTTCTCAGTGATCGAGTGGGAATGATTGGCAGAATCGCAATGGGGTATGAGTACGAGTTCGATTGAAGACTTCGCCAGCTCACAGTACAGCAAAATTTCACTTTTTAGCCGACGACTTTTGACACCAGTTTGAATATTCAATCAATGGCCAAACAATATAAGCGAAAATCTGTCCGTGGTCAACTGAAAAAAACAAAATTTATGCTCAACTTGAGTTTATTGCTGATGGCACAGTGGGCCAACAGAGTCAACAGAAAGTAAGTAAGCTGCTACACACATAAATATATGAATGATCGGAAATCGTGATTCGACTGATATAATAAAATTTGACTAAAATCTTAGCAAAGTTCAGTTGGATCGTATTGCTTGCGTGTTGCTTATGTTTACTTCTTCTTGGGGAAGATTGTTTCCTTAGCCTCGTCGATTAGATCTATTGCCAGAAACTTGAGATCCTTCAGAGTTGTGGGGAACTTCTGAATTGGCTCGATGGAGACCTCCTCGCCGGGCTTCACGCCTTTGATGAAGTTGTAGGCAACAGCAAAAATCTTGCGCCCCTCGTACAATACAATGCGCACATTCTCCTCCGCCTGGCGTGGATAGCAGAGTGACGCAACAGTGCCAGCGCCAATTGTGGTGTAAAGCACTTTCTTAAAGAAACCGCCGCGAGCAGCAAATATAAAACCAGCCAGACCACCCATCACAATCGCTCCACTGCGGTGCATCGAGTTCTGTGGCTCGTTCAGAAAATCAATGGAACGTTGCGTGTGATCTTTCGCCGTATTATAATAGTCGCTAACGATGGCAGTCTGTTCGCCTAATACTTTGCAGCCCTTTCCCACTTCTTGCCGAACATAACGTACACCGTCTTCCAGAGTATTCTGCAACGGGGAAATTGTCGGCTTGTGCTCCGGAGGTTTCTGTGGCCTGCATGTTGATGGAATTGAAAACATAAATATATGTATATCAGAACAAAGTAAATGCACTTACTCTGACGCATGCAAGGAACCGTAGATCGGCAATTCACTTGGTTTACACACAAGCGAATCTTTCGGTGGTGGATTTCCACCGGTGGGAGCTACGGCCACGGCTGCAGCTAACATCGACGCTTTGCGCAGCATTGTTTTTTTTTCTTGTTAGCCTGAGTGTTATCTTGGTGAAGCGTCTGCAAATTTAACGTTATTTGTAACATGAATTTATAGCTTGTCAAAAATTTGTTTGCCTTTTACCTTAGATTGTTTCATACATTGCGTAATGTGTCACCGGCACGTTGCGATTGCTTGACAAGAACAGCATGTCGGCGAACACACAGCTGTTTGTCATTTAGCTGCATCTGGCAACGCTGTAGAAAAACTGTTTTATTCAAATAAATGGAATTATATGCATGTGTGCCTAATTAACTGTTTCTAGCTCTCAAAGATAACACATACCTTACAATAAATACATATAGTACTATATTTGGGTATTAAAATCATTCAGGTCACTCGTAATACACAAATCTGTTACTACTACAGCTGGTATAATTTGCTCACTGTTAGGAACAGCGAATGTTATGCAGTTGTTTTTACATTGCTGTTATCATTAGGGTGACCATCAAACGATGGAAGAAGCAGACATTGTTGTGCTGCTACCTGGTCTCGCGATTTGCGAGAAAAGAAAAATTGAGATAAGATGAAATAATTTGTACATGATAACTTAAAATTCCATCACCAAAGTCCAGGATGCACTTAATGTGACGCCAGCAAGTGAGTGTTACAATCATATTCATTAACTTTTCGTTGACATTTCTTAACATAACGCCTTACACTTGTGTTTGATCGAAAAATGAAAAACGCTCGGAAAGAAGTAGAAAAAAGATAAATAAACCCTTGGAATTGATAAGCAGCAAACAATTAGCAATTGTCAGCTATTGTTACCAAAGTACTATAATCCCAACCTCAATACTGCACTGCAATCAGAGTGAAAGTCGAAACGTTAGGCGTGTGATAAAAATTTCCTTACCTACCGACCACCCACTGCTGCTGCTATTTGTAATGTTATCAGTGCTCGAGGCGCGCTAAAAAACGCCTACAAAAACAACAATTGAAGCAACAGCGACTGCTTAGGAAATTCTGAAGGACATTCGATGTAAATAGTAGTGGAAAAAGACTGTAAATAAATAAGATTACTTATTCATTTTAATTTTGTCTATTATTTATGCAGTTGAAGTTGCAGCAGTGGCAGTGGCAGCAACGGCCTGCGGAAGCGTCGAACGTGCACACAATTCCAAAAAGCAATTAATGGGGGCCATGAACCAAAAAGAACAACTGACAAACAGCAGCAGCAACAACAAGCACAACTGACTAACGGACAAAAATCCGTTTAAAAACAAAGAAAAATAGAAAAAATTAATATTTAATTTTACCAACTGAGCAATAAAAACTAGTCATAATTCATATGGAAGCGACCGCAAGTTCCAAGTTCAGGTCAGTACTATCAAAAATGACCACATATTCTCATGATTATAGTTTAGTGCTTAGTAATGAAAGGCATTTCAACATATTTTAGCGATGTGGACGAGTACGGATTTAAGCGTGGCGATAAGTTCGATTACAAGTTCTATGGGAAGTTTATGGATGGTTATTTAAAGATATTGACGCGCCGGMGAATTAAATGGGAGAATTTACTTCAGCAGAATCCGGATTTCAGGATGATAAGTCCGAAATTAAAGCGATATATACGCAAGGGCATACCAGGTCCATATCGCGCGGATGTTTGGATGAAAATTAGTGGTGCCGATGAGGCAAAGCAACGAAATCCTAACCTTTATCATAGTTTATTAAATATCGAGCATTTCAACAAAGAAATCTGCGATTCCATATCAATCGATCTACCTCGAACGTTTCCCGACAATATCCACTTCGATGCCAAGAAGGAGCGCCTCTTTAACATACTCTGCGCTTATGCGCATCATAATCGAGATGTTGGCTACTGCCAGGGTCTCAACTATATAGCCGGCCTGCTGCTGATTGTCACCGATGACGAGGAAAAGTCCTTCTGGCTGCTGAAGCATATCGTTGAGAATATAGTGCCGCAGTATCACTCACATAATATGGCCAATCTGTTGCGAGACTTGGCTGTGTTCAGGGAGCTGGTCATAAGACGTGTGCCGGCTGTTAACCGACACGTGGAAGACATGAGTAAGTAAAGGATATCGCTAAGTAAGCATAATATCATATTAACCTTTTGAAATTGTTTTTATATTAAACAGATTTACCCTATGCGGTGATAGCCAGCAAATGGTTCATTTGCATATTTGCCGAAGTTTTGCCCGTGGAAACTGTGCTGCGAATATGGGATTGTGTWTTCGCTGAAGGTTATAAGGCAAGTCATGGAATATGAGCTTTAACAATGTATAATTATTGCATATGTATTTGCAGATTGTATTTCGTGCAGCTTTGGCCATGTTCATTACACATAAGAATGATATATTGCGCTGTGACGATATTGCGGCACTAGCCACCATGTTTCGCGACCATATGATACAGGATAATATAGTCACCGACTGCCATAGCTTTGTAGAAGCCATGTTTTCCTTGCGTTTGAAACGCAATGAGGTTGAGAGCTTGCGCAAAATAGCTGTGCTAAATGGAAACTAAGCAGTTAATCAAAATAGAACAAAAAGTAACAAGAGAAAAGACCCTCATCAAAATAATATGGAAACAAAAGAAAGCAATCGTAAAATTCAATTATTAGAGATGTAGCTTATGTGTCCAATCCATATATATATATATGTAATATTTTACGTGTGTATTTGTGTATAGCCTCATAGTAGCCAATGTATTTTGAGTATTATTCGAAACAAAACTAAATATGATACCAAAGTTAAATTCCAATTCGATAAAGAAGCAAATTTAATTAGATAGACTCATATGTACAATATCGATATGAATGTGTACATATGTGGTTGTGCGTTAAAAGTAGTTGTAGTTGTTGCCAAAATGTAAGCAGAAAACATACATACATATGTAGATATAATGTATATCAATCGCCTATATACGCCACATACAAGTATTTATTATGTATGTCTGTAAATTTAAAACATTTAGTTTCTTTGGTGTGCTGTTATTTTAATTGTTTAGAAAACAAATATTTATTTTGTAGTATATATTAAAGTATACTTTACATGATGCTGTGTTTTGTAGAAAATTTCTAGATTATATATGAATCTATTTTATAAAAAGCTTTTCAATTATTAAATACTTGCGAAAGCCTGTTAGTTGATTGCTATGTACAAACAGACAAATACGAAGACCTCACTATAGCTATTTACTATGACGTTTGTATTTATAGTTTGCCAATGAGCACGTTGCAATACTCACAGTCTACACTGATACTATAYATATATATATATTTATATGTATATCCTGAAATATAATTTGAGGAATTGATTTGTTAACACATGCCTTTTAGGCCGAACTCTACGAACCAGCGAACAAATGTAAACTCTAAATGATATAAAGTGTCGTTTGATTAGTGCAACTAATATGCTTTTTAAATAAATATTACTGCTATTTGTTAGATAATGAGATCGTCTTTTATTAGTATTTCAGGGAAGACATATTTTTGATACATAATTTACTACGCAATACTACTACAATATGAATAGCATACTTTTCGGAGTTAAGTATCCAGGTATAAAGTCTCATTGGAATTTTATGCCGGAAATATTGGAAAATTATTTTTTTGCTTATATTTTTAAGTAAGTCAAGAATCACTAACTTTCTGTTCGTGATCCAATTGGAATATTTTCAATATTCCTTGAATAACAAACATTTGTTGGCATAAAACAAATTGCTTATTTTAACGAATCGCAATAAGCTTATGGCATACCGCAATGTGCACCACACATTGGCTCCGAAGACAATGCTAACGATGTGAGGAGAGTGCGTCGTCCTGGATGGACGCCCAGATTCTCCCAATTGATCCAGGAGAGACGTGCCGTTAGATCACTTGTATTCCAATTGGCTCGGTCGGCTTTGATTTCACCGCGTAGACATTTCTCCACATAGGTCAGTGGATCGTAATCAGTTTGGAGCACCTCACGTAGTAGTGATATGTAGGCAATGGCCAAGCGCAAGGTATCGATTTTGCTCAGACGCTTCTCATAGGGAAATGTGGGCACATGGACCCTTAACTCATCAAATGCGGAATTTATACTACTGCAGAGCGCAAAAAAAAAATAAATAAAGAAGGAAAGAGGAAGAGAAAGAGAGGGAGAGAGAGAAAGAAATGCTCATTAGCTCTTGTTGTAGGCAGTGCAGGGCATAGCTAAGTGTGCAATGGAAAAGACCATTTAGTGTACCCAGTTGGTGCGGACCTCTGGATGCGTTTCCTTTCCCGCACATTTGCTTGTTGCCGTTGGATTTTGTAACTGGATGCAGCGGCTGCACCATAGCTTCCACTCGAGGCTCCTCCTGCTGTGCTAGGTCCTGGACCACCTCCGCCTCCGCCACCGCCACCGCTTGCGCCTCCACCACCTCCGCCGCCGCTACTGGTCGCCGCTGGACTATTGCACATCATTGGTGTGGCATTATTTGAGTTCAGAGACACCAGATTATTAGAATTTGTAGAAGAATCGAGCATGTTTTCTGAAATGAAATAATAATGAATTATTACACTATGTTGTTGACTAAACTATGCAAGAACAAGTATGCCATAAATATCTACGGATTTGATTCCGAAAGGATTTATCTGTTCATATTCAGTGTGAAAGAAATTACATGTATAAAATATTCTAAACTTATAATTAATGAGCCATGTGAATCAATATGCAACTTTAACCATGTCTTAGGAAGAGCTTCCACTNATGTTGACCCGCATATATGCAGGATGGCAGCTCATTGATTAAATCATCGTCAAAATTGTGATATGGTAAATGGCTGTTGGTAAAATTTATGATTTTAAAATCAGTTTCAAGCGCCGTCGGGAAACACATTTTTCATTACACATTGCAATAATCAATAACAATATTATTCTTTCACTTTTTATGTTTTGACAGCTTCTCACCTTATGGGTGGCGATGAGGATGAATCTGGTAATTGATTCCGTGACATTTTGGTTAACTTCTTTATTCAATTTGATGATTTTGTAAAATCTAATTAATTTGTTACACCTTAAACTTAAACCTAATATTCGCGCGGCCGATGTCCAATAAGTTTAAATGTGTAATGAGAGCATCTCCAGGGAATTCAGAGCCTTTTATAGCATCGTCGATCCAATTGGAAATGCCGCAGCTCTGTGTGCCTGTTTGCATGTGTGTACTTATCAACCCCTAAATGTCCTTGCAACTATTCGCCGTGCGTTCTGAGGGGCGGAGCTTGTCAAGTACTACAGGGTGTTTTCGCACAAGGCAAATGCTTGTCGGAAGCTGTGAGAAAATAATAAGGCCTATTTGTTCAATAAAAGCTATGACTGACTAAATTTGATATTTTCAGAGCTCATTGAAGATTATATATTATGTAATTGCTAAATTTATATTGATATTTAAGCAAAATAAGACTATGTAAACTGAATATCCATAAAATTGTATTTTAACAATATGTGCTATTAACTAAACTAGAATATGCAAATTTTGTTCCTGTTTTATGTAGTGCGCATTCCGGTCTTCATAAYCGGAAGCACCCTTATCATAAGTTGTTATTTCTTCTTCTTTGTATACCTCACCTGTTTTTGACATTTTGCCATTATATTGCTCACAGCAGGCAGCCGCCATGTTTTTCTGAAAACAGAGTGGGAGGTGAACCCCAAAAAGTAGACAGCCGTCGATGGAGGTATCTCTCTCTCTAAATTTACCCCAGCAACAATATGGACTTGCTGCCATATGCGAGGTAAAGCTCTTTGCTGGGCTGTTAGTAATGTGAGATCAACATGATGGCGCCTCGTTTTGAAAGTTGATCGGAGCGCAACCTGTTGACATTTCAGGCGTCGAGTAGGAGGGTTACTCGAAACAGTGAGATTCCCACGAGATGACAAATTGTGTGAGAGCTTACAACAATTAGATCACATCGGAGAGCAAACCGTTACAGTTTACAGCTCATTAAACGAATGCCGCACTATCTCAGTATATATATAGGGAGACATATCCATTCATGTATCTATCTGTATCTGTATCGGACAGAGCACCACTTGAAACCGCAGACAGTCAAAGCAATTGTTGAAATTGAATTATGTTTATTTGATGTTTTGGTTTACGCACAAATTAGCTACGTCAGAGCTCTCGCCCCGCCCCGGCGGGCGACCAGGTCACGTGCGTTAACCCCGAGGCGCGAAAAACCAGCTCGAGGCAAAGTCGAACAATGAACAAACAATATGTCAGGGCGGATGCGGATGCGCAAACCTTTTCATTACCAGTCAAATTGGTTTGGCACACACGCGCCGGCGCACACTCCGCGTCACAAAGACCTGATGACAGTAATCAGTTTTGATGCAGGGTAAGTGTCCAGGATACCGGTRCAGGCCCAAAGCTGACATCCTTAAGTGAAATCTTGTTACAAACCAATGTAAACACGATTGTTAATTTAACTTTGGCAATTGCTCTAGCTACCCTCGTCTGAATATCGTTCACCTACTATTATTGTTGTTGTTTCCATTGTGGTTGTTGTTGTAGTGGAAGCAGTGTTGTTGTTGTTGTTTCCATGCGGCGGATATGTCATTGGACCACAATTAAATTATCGCATTTCAAACGAGTGCGCCCGAGCGACGCGATTATCGCCAATGCACACATCCACTTGGACTTGATCCGACTGTGGGAAAGAACGGAAATAAAATGTACTCTCATTTGATTTGCATATTATCGTACTTGTCGCCTGTCACACCAAATAATTGGCCATATACAGATATTTATTTATTTAGAAAAGGATTAAAAGAGGATTTCTATTTCATTCGGCCAAGTTCGAGTAAAAGTAGAGTTCCAATAAACATAATATTTAAATTTATGTTAAAAAAAATAATTAAATATAAAATTAATCGGCTGATGTTAGAGTAATACATTTTTATTTTAAATATTTTACAATGATTATATAGATATGGATTTTGAAATCACCTTTTTGTGAATTTCCCTCACTAAAGAAATATTTCTTTAACTCATTTTCCTTTCTATTTCCCCTTATTTTCCCGTGATAAATAAAATAAATGTTTTTTATTCCTAAGGCACTTTATAACTGTTATTCAATCCAATTGCTTCAAGTCATGTTCGCATAATTCAATTCAAGGGTTGACTCGTAGCCAACTAAAAATAACAACAACAAAAAACAGATTGATAGTGTCAAACGTTTTTATGGTGTACTCAACTGGAGCAGCAGCCATCAAACGCACTCTCATTCGCACACACTCCATAGCATCCCTAACTGTTATCCTGGCCTTCGACTGACTATGTGGATGAAGGACTTGCGTCTGGAACATATCGATTAGTGCACTGCATCCATACCAGAACAAGGCCAGGGAAAATTTGTCTGTGAATTTGTACGCTGACACACGACCAGCAAAGCGCGAATACTTTTCCACAGGATAATCCCACCCCACCTCCAGTACTAAGGACTAAGGACTAACCCCTCCCTCAACCGTCGACCGCAATTCGTTGTGGCTGCTTGAACTGCTTGAAGCAATTGTCTGCGAAATTGTTTGTTTATTTTGATGTTGTTTAATGCGTGCTAAATCTCTGCCCTAATATGCGGCTATGGTCGAGCAACATCCTGGGAAAAGTAAACAGCGTCGATGCGAGGTGAATTCCAACGAGGATATTATGAAAGCTTTCACATTCGTGCTTTTCGGTTTGAAACCCATCTAACTTTCGCTTGGGGTAAAGTTTGGCGCAGCAGAACTTTAAGAGCTTATTTGAAATCTAATCTCCAGTTTTTCAAAAATATACACACCAACTACAAACACACGTATATCGTATTTAATAATGTTGATATCGGCTGATATATTCAATGGACAACAAGCTGACAATGAACATCATGACATCGTTTTATCTTTGTATTGGTTTTTCTTGAAATCAGTCTAATCTACATATATGATGAAAGTAGACACTAATAATTAATTTGTTCTCTTTAAATTTAATTAAATTATTAATTTTCTTATAAATAATATTATTTAATTTTACGTAAAATTTTATTTTACTTTACTTTACTTTACTGCGTAAAATTTTTTTTATTTTTTTTATTTTTATTTTATTTTTATTTAAGAGCTAACATATTAATAGTAAAATTAAACGTAAAAATTACTTTATCTCAATATTACGTAAAATTAATTGCGTAAAAAATTACTTCATCTCAAACATTGGTCATCTTTTGTTTGATATTCGCAAACAACTCATCACTTATTTGAATAAGGGTTAGCTCCTACGTACTAAACATTTGCAAGTAGTATATTATGCCATCCATAACCTCGGGGTTATTTCAGTTCACCGCGACGTCTGGCGATGTCATTCAGCTGTCAATTAAATTCGTGACCGTGTTTCATAGCAAGTGCTTTGTTTTGATTTTTTGTGATAAACAAATGTGAGTCGCTTTAAATATATTCAATGAACGTGTAAATACATTTTAATGCGCCAATCCCACAACAGCAGCTCCCATCCCAGTCAATCCCATTTCGATTCCATCCGATTTCGAATCGAAGAGCTCTTACCGCTACCCACTCGCAATTATAATATCAGACCAAAACAAACACAACAAAAACCGGCAGCAACACAGCGAATTTATCATTATATTTTTTTTAGCGACTTTTTTCTCTTTTTGGGCTACTCGATTCAACTGTGCGGCTCAATGGCCAGAGACGGAACTGAACGGAGGTGAAGAGAAGTGAAGCGACTTTAAGGCTGGTCAGAGCAGCGTTTAGTAAGTCAGTTGGCCGCTGTCCGTTGCACAGTTCGCACGTTGCGCAAAAAAAAAATATACGTACATACATGTATAAACAAAAACGGCGACAATTCTCGTAAATAAATGGCTAAAAATATTCAAGCAGTGGCAGACCAAAAAATAATACAAAAAATAGTTACAATACAAGCAACGCCCCAATCGATTCATTTTTGCAAAAGCTAATAAAGTAAATCCCAACAAATGCCAACACGTTTGCCCAATTTGGAATATGCAGTGCGGGCTATTGAAACGTGATATATGTGGGACAAGTGCGCAATCCTAACTACGGTAACTTTTAGCAAAGTGCTTCCGATTAAGTATCGTGACGTATGCATAAGTGGAGGGCCTCAGATATAGAGCAATTCACTAGTCGCCTACTTGCCAGTAGCAAGCTGGTCGCATGGTCAAGTGCCGGTGATAAGCGCACACGTTGCTGATAAGACGGGGGCGCCAAGTCGTAAAAATAAACTGAAATCAAAGCTCAAACTAAGCATTCTGASCATAATATAAATAATAATAATTAGTTACTGATCATATACATGATTTATAAACAACGCACCGACCAAAAGCAATAACAAAGCCCACACAAAATGCCAAGACGTCAGAGCGACGCTTGCTTGGCCCATGACATCGCAGCTGGTATGGAACGGGAACTTGAACTAGAATTGGAACTGGAGCTGCAGCGRCCGCTKCTGTCGYCGAAGGAGCAGGCCAAAAGTGAGTACCACACACGCGCCATTACCTAGGCACCGGGCTATTAAACCAGTTAAGTTGGTCAAACAAAACCAACTGGCACACACCCAAATACATACAAACACACACACACACACACACATACACCGGTCTTAGCCATAAATCAGTGACATTTGCACACTGCAAGTGCTGCCCGTTTATGAAGCTTTACTGCGCTGCAGGCGGCTCGCTTTTTGTTCTAATCAGATGCGAATACGAAATATTTGTCACTTAATTTATGAAAATCGAGTAGCGGCCAGAAATCTAATTAGAATATGCACAAGCACACTAATACATACTCACACGTCCATATATACNAAGTGCCGGTGATAAGCGCACACGTTGCTGATAAGACGGGGGCGCCAAGTCGTAAAAATAAACTGAAATCAAAGCTCAAACTAAGCATTCTGACCATAATATAAATAATAATAATTAGTTACTGATCATATACATGATTTATAAACAACGCACCGACCAAAAGCAATAACAAAGCCCACACAAAATGCCAAGACGTCAGAGCGACGCTTGCTTGGCCCATGACATCGCAGCTGGTATGGAACGGGAACTTGAACTAGAATTGGAACTGGAGCTGCAGCGRCCGCTKCTGTCGYCGAAGGAGCAGGCCAAAAGTGAGTACCACACACGCGCCATTACCTAGGCACCGGGCTATTAAACCAGTTAAGTTGGTCAAACAAAACCAACTGGCACACACCCAAATACATACAAACACACACACACACACACACATACACCGGTCTTAGCCATAAATCAGTGACATTTGCACACTGCAAGTGCTGCCCGTTTATGAAGCTTTACTGCGCTGCAGGCGGCTCGCTTTTTGTTCTAATCAGATGCGAATACGAAATATTTGTCACTTAATTTATGAAAATCGAGTAGCGGCCAGAAATCTAATTAGAATATGCACAAGCACACTAATACATACTCACACGTCCATATATACATATAGCAGAACTGATATCGCGCCGTGCAGAATCTTAATCAATGCCTCATCTCCAGCTGCGCATTCTTTTCATTGAATAAAAACAACAACATATAAAATCAACAAACGAATTGTTATTTATTTAAGTGTTAATCATTAATAAGCAAAATGCGCTTCTCATTTGATCTGCAAAAACAATATCAAAGTTTATTATACATTTTTATAAAAACGCACTAAAAGCAAAAAGTGAAAAGGCAAATTTTATCGCATGCAACTTTTATCGCATGCGAGAAATATTTTGGATAAGCCTAGGAACCAATATGAATGATACCAATATTAGGCTAATTTTTTTAAGTTTACTCATTGATTAAAAAATATATTTATTGATTCATTCGCCCAGAAAAGTATATATTTTTGGTATCTTAATAAATAATTTCCGTGCGAACAACAGGATGTTCTATGACTAACAATTGTTTACCTATCAGCGTACTATGCCTTTTTTGGAAGTTCACAAATAATAGAATTTATTGTGAATTTACAAGTATGTGGTACATCTATATAGATAATCACTTAGAGTATGGCCAATAAATACTATTAGCTTTTAAAACCTGTTTATTATCACAATAGAATATTCGCTTCGGAGATGTTTTACTCAATTAGCGACACCTAAAGCAGTTAAACAGTGTTAGCCCTTTGTTCATGGATTGTGTGAAAATGATAAATAAATAATAGCCCTTCTTATAAAGTTGTTTTCGTGTAAATATTAGTTCAGAAGTTGCAATCAATAAAATACAGGCTATATGAAACAAACGCTGCTTCTGCACTTAGAAAATGATTATATGATATCATATCATTATTTTGTATCATTAATGGTATATTTTGTTAAATGCAAATTTATTGTCAACATATTTTATAATAATTTTATTTTTAAGATTTTCTACTTTGTGCGAGTAAAATGCTAAATAACATATATAAACAATGGGCCTATTACTCAGCTCAATGTAATACAATTTCATATGTTTAATCACATTTATATATCGGCGTTTCCGCCTTTTGTCACAGTTTTATCATAGTAAATGAATATTTCCATTAAACAATCGTCATACTCATCAACAAGATCACTCACCACAACAATAAAAAAAGAAAACAGAAAAATACAGAATACCCCGAAACAAATAACTATACAAAAATGTCAACAAATTATCAGCATTTTTTTTTATGATCTTTATCAAGCAAATTGTCACTGAGTGTCATCGCCCAACGATCGGTGCTGGCCACGTGCCGGCTAATGCCAAATAGACTGTTACTATAATTATAGAGAGAGAGGGGGAGCGAGAGAGAGAGAGAGAGAGAGAGAGAGAGAGAGAACATTGACTATTGTAGAATTGAACTATATATGTACATCTGGGGCTACATCTGTTGTAGAGCCGCTGGAATAGCCGCTAAGCACTAAATGTAACTTTGACGCGAAACGCATTTCTCATATGCATATTGATTTATTTTTAGTGCATAATATATCACACGACAGCAATTGTTTTTGACAGAAGAGCACATACTCTTTTTGTTGAAGACCAAACTACAACCAACAATAATAAATGAAATAAATCATACTCGCTAGTAACTATGTCCTTCCCAAATTCTGAATAGTTAACGAATAGTTGACAGAATAATAATGCCTACATATTCTTTTTATAAAACAAAAATAAGTTCAATATTTTGATTCATCAAATTAAGTGGAATAGCTCACAAGCTGTGAGACAATTGTAGTGTATCGGTTTGTTGAGTAAAACAATGCCGGCGATTAAGTAACAACAGCAACAGTTTTTCGCGCCAAGCGAGGCGAACTAAGAGAGAGCACACTCGAAGAGCACGAAATGCGAAGAGAGAGCGCGCAGCTGGTGCAGTAACAGCAGCAGCAGCAGCTGTTAGTTAGAACGTCGACGTCGACGTCGACTGCCAAAGAATGGTCTTAGCGCAGCATCAGCGACCCCACAGCAGCCCCCACAGCAATTGCCGCTTTCGCTATCGACGGCGTTAACGTAGCCACCAGCGCTGCTAGCGTTGCACAGTGGGTCAGATTCATATTTGCACTACTAAAGTTGCATAGGCTAAAAAGCTAATGGCATAATACAGTTTGCTTAGTAAATATATTGATTAATATTTTTATATTATGGTTAAGACGTATTGTGTTAAAATGTACACATTTTCTTACCCATAAATTATTAATAAAAGTAATTATGGATAAAATATGAGTTTTCACGTAAAATCCATTAAGTGCTGTAAACATTTTGTTTTTTTGTCAAATATTCTGAGCTAAAATTATAACATTAAATGGGTTTGACTGACTCAAGCAAAAAGGGAAATTCGATTTCATCTGCGAGAATTGGCCGAGAAACCACAGTACTTGGTCGTTGCGTGCAGGAGCAAAAGTTATAAAAGTTCTTCGCAATTCGCACGAGCGCTCAGTTGCTCTCGGTCATTCGTTGTGGTTGTGTGAACTTGTGCCGCAGCATCATCAGCAGCAGCAACAGCAGCAACAGCAGCAACAGCAACGACAACGACAAGAACAACATCAGCGGACAGAGACGACATTGTCGCCATCGTTGTCGCCATCGACATCGACATCGCATAGAGAATCAGAATCATAAGAAGCAACAGCAGGAAGAGTTTTTTCGTGTGAGCAGCCAAAGACAAAACGTTTTGTGGGTGCGTGAGTGCGCATAGTATAAAATTAAATAAATAAATTAAACAACAGCGGCAGCAGCAGTAGTGACAATAACAACAACAACAAATGCGAGCTCGGCAACAATATTATTATATCCATATACACATACAAGCACATAAATATATATACATACATATATACATACAAATATGTGCCATTATAGAAATACTTATACTTATAGTTGTTTTTGTTATAAGTAATAGACTGAAGGCGACCCGGTAATGTTTGGACAACTATGACGAGATTTGCTGTTAAATAGAGCATAGTAGACATCCACACATAGACACACACACATACATATACAACAACAACAAAAATAATAATAGAAGCGAAGATTTCTTGCATCACTTGGTTTTTGGTCAAGAGCCATAAGCTAATAATTTTTTTTATATATATATGCTTAGTTTCCCCCATTAACTTGACTATTAGCTAAAACAAATTGTTTTCGTCTAAAATTGCTTGTAGTTGTAGTTGTTGATAGTTTTATTATATTGTTTTCTCGCTTGCATTTGTTTTCCAAACTGCAATTCGCTGTCGTTTAAGCGAAGCGCGCGAAAATATTTCGTTTGTCTCACCACGCGGCGTATGAGTAACAAATGCGAAATTGATTCTCTCGCGCCCGCTCACTAGCATTCATTAACGAAATCCGCAATTGCAAATTACAGTTGCATTTACGATTCGAGAGCACTGCGAGTGCAACACGCAGCTCGCCGCAAACATAGTAGACAATAATAAATAAATTAAAAACAATTTTGTCTTGGCTTACGCCTCGTATGCGTAATGTCATAAACRATGCAAAACGCTTAACTCGTCAAAGGTTCATCATACGAGAGRAGCAACAAAGATACGGGACAGTTGGTTCTATGTGTCTGCTTCCGTTTGGTGCGCTTTTAAAAATTGATCAACGCAACGAGCAGTGAAACGCGACAAGGCGGGTAACGGATTTCCGCGCCAAGGCATCGAAACAACAGCACCCGAAAGTGGGGTAAGGAAGTCAGGCAGGCAGGCAGGCAACAGCAGTAGCACAGCATCGCTTTGCTGCCAATTGTGCAGCAGAACGCGTTTCTGGATTAGCCCGAGTCTAGCAGCAGCAGCAGCAGCAGCGACAGCAACAGCAACAGCAAGAGCAATAAGGTAAGCTCATTACGAGGCACTGCCAACATCGCCATGTTGACAGCAGCAACAGCAACAGCATACACATTGTGTCCCGGCTGTCCTTATGCTTAGAGCAGC